AATACCATAATTAATTAAACTTAATTTTTAATTATTAATTATAATTATTTTTATAATTTTTATTTAAAATTTTATCGTTTAAATTTTTATATTATATATTAATTCCTTTTTTAAATATATTTTCATAAATATATTTATTTTTACGTAAATTTTACAATTATTATTTTTTTTTTATAAATTAAACATATTATATATACCTATTATATTAAACATAATTTTTTAAATTTTTCGCAAAAATACTTTATACTTTTCATTAAAAATATATAATAAATTATTTTTAAAATTATTTAAATTTCCCAAAAATATATTATTTTTATTAAAAATTACATTATAAATAAATATAATTTTATTAATTATAAAATTCCAAATATAATAAATATTTATAAAAAAATAATTTATTAAATAATTTATTTAAACTTTTAAATTTAATTTTTTACATTTATTTTCTTTTAATTACATTTTTTTAATCATTACAAATATTTTATATCCGTAAATATATAAATATATTTATTATAATTTACGTTAAAATTTTATATTACCGTTTTTTTTTACAATAAATATATAAAACCTTTTATAAAATAATTTTTAATTATATATATATTTAAAAATATAATTATATAAATAAACAATAAATTTATAAATTTTTAATTATAAAAACGTTAATAATTTAATACCGTTTTTTATAATATAAACCTTAATTTTAATTATATTTTTTAAACATTTTATAATATTATTTTATTTTTAAATATAAAACGCAAATAATTTTATTTAAACATATATTTATTAAAAAAAATATTATACTTATAATTTATTCGTTATAAATTTATTATTACACTTTATTATTTTAAACTTTAAATTATATTATTTTTTTAAAATATTTAACAAATCTTTAAAATAAAAAATAATAAATTATATAAATCGTTTTTAAAAATAATAATTTTATATATAACCAATTTATTAGTCGGTTATTAACATAATATTTTTATAACTTTTATATTTTTTTTTTAAAAAGTAAAAATCTATAATAAAACGTAAATCAAAAGTTTTTTTTAACCATTTTAACTTACATTAAATAAGTTTTTTAATTTTAAACATATTATATACATTACATTTTATAATAATTAAACCAATAATTTTTACTTTTTTAAAACAATTTATAAAATATTTTAATATTTAAAAACTTAAATATTTTAATTTTAAATACTATTTATTTATATTATTACATTTAATAACTTATTTAATTTTAAATATAATATTTTATATACATATATAAAAAAAACCTTTTATCATTTTATAAAAAATATTTTTTATTATAAATTAATTATATTTATTAATTATTTTATATAAAATAAAATTATTTATTTTACAAATAAACATTTTTTTATTTTTATTATTTTATTAATATTTTTAATAATATAATATAAAAAATAAAATAAAATTATATATAAAATTTTTATAATATATAACATTTTAAAATCGAAAAAAATAATCTTTTTTTAATCTTTTTATTTTTATATTAACATTATTATACCTTTTAATAAATATTTTATTATTTTTAATTATTATAATATTTTTTATAAATATTATTTTATAATTTAAAAAATAAAAACGTTTATTAAAAATATAAATAATATTATTAAAATTAAAAATTATAAAATAAATAAAAAAATAATAAAAAATTATAAAAATAACTTATAATATTATATTAATCACAAATATAATTATAATTTACAATATTTTATTAATTTAACGTTTTAATTAATTTTAAAAAAATTACTTTTTATTAATTTTTTTTAAACTTTTTTTTAATTTTATTAATTTTTTTTTAAAAATTTAAATTAACTTTTAAATTTTATTTAAAAATATATATACTTTTACTTTCCTTTAAATTAATTTAATTTAATTTTATTTCTTTAAAAATATATTAATATTTTTTAAATTTATAAATATTTAAATATATTTTATATAACCGGTACGATTTTTTTATTTCATTTAATTTACTTTTTTTAAATTATTTATTAAAACCATTTTAATTATTTTTTTTTCCTTTTTTTTTATTTTTAAAAATATTTTTATTAAAAATATCCTTTTATTTTTTTTTTTTTTATTTTAAATAAAACCAAATAATCTTTTACCAGGTTTTTTTTTATAAATATTTATAGTTTAAACTTTTATTTTTAAAAATAAAATTATAATTTAAAATAATAAAATATTATTATTTATAATTTAAATATTAATAATAAAAAATATATTAATTTAATCGGATAAAATATATTTAAATACCATTAATAAATTTTCGAATTATTTGGCGTTATATTTAATTATAATTAAATTTTTACTTTTCGTTTTTTTTATAATTTCTTTTTATTAAAAAATCTATATATTTTAATTTTTAAATAGTTTATAAAAAATAATTATAACTTTTTTATAATCTTTTTATATTTAAACTTTTAATTAAATATTAATAACTTTTATATATTTTTTTAATAAAATATACCATTTAATAAAAAATAAAATAAAAAAATAAATTATTTAAAAATAATAAAATAATATAGTTTATTAAATTTAACTTTTAATTTTTTTAATAACATTTTATTTAATATTATAATTTTTAACATTTTTTTTATATATATTAAAATTTAAAATAAAACTATTTTATTAAATTTAAATTAAATTTAATATTATTTATATATTATTTATTTTATTTTAAACATTTTTTAATTTATAATAATTTATTAAAATAAATTTAATAAATTTAAATAATTATTAATTTTAACAATTTTTAATAAAAATATTATTTTTAAAGTAAATTTTATACCAAATATTTTATTTTAATAAACTTAAACCATAAATTTAATATTGTTTATAAAGTTGTACTTTTTTTAACTACATTACTTTTTAATTAATTAAAACTTGGAATAACTTTTTAAAACAATATCGAATTTGTGGTTTAAAGTAAGTTTAAAATCCCGTATATTAAAATCATACGTTTAACGTTTTAAAATAATAATATTAACAATAATATTAATAATATTATTAAAAATAATAATATTAATACGTTTTTATAATAAATTTAATTAATTATATAATTATATTAATTTTATTATTAAATTTATTAATTAAATTTATGTATTTTAAATCTTTTAAAGTATTAAAAGTAATTATAATAACGGTTATAACGCGTTAATTTAACGCGTTAACTGTAATACCGGTCGTAACGGTAATTATAACAAACGTTAAAATTTAATATATAAAATCATATAAGTATATAAAAAAAGTTAAAAGGTTTAAAAAATAATATTATTAATTTTAAATTATTAAAAAAAAAAGGATTTTATACGTGGTTATGGAATATTAAATTATTATATTTAAATATTTTACATAAAATTTAAATAATTAAAACGTTAAAAATTTTTAAACGTTAAAATTTAATATATAAAAATGTAATATTATATAAATATATAAAAAAATTAAAAAAAATAAATTAAATATATTATTAATTTTAAATTATTAAAATTAAAACTATTTTATACGTTATTATAATATATTAAATCATTATAAATATAATATTTGATTTTTTTATTATTAATAAAAGCGTTAAAGACTTTTACAATGCCGTATAACTTTAAACTAAAAATTTTTAAATATTTTACCTGTAATTTATAAGTACAAACACACGGACCACGCGTTACGTGGCGCAAGTAAACGTAACCCGCTTTAAAAATTTCGGGTTTAAAGTCACTTAAAATAACAAATATTAACATTTATTATTTTTATTTTAAAAATTTTTTTTTAATATTTTTAATAATTAAAATTTAAAAACTTTATTATATTAATATTTATTATAACATTTATAATATATTATTTTAAAATAATATTTTAAGTTTTTTAAATTAATTTAATAATATATAATAAATTAAATTAAACTTATTAAATTAATTATTTAATGGTTTTAAATAAATAAAATTTTTAATTATTAAATAAATTAATTTATTAAATTAATTAAAAAAAATAAAATATTATTATTTTTTTTTTATAAATATTTAAAATGAATTTAAATGTTTAAATAATACGTGACGGGCAGTCACGTGTTAAAATGTATTAAAGTACATTTTACAATTATTTTAAACCATTAATTTAAAGTTTAATTTAATAAAATAAATGTAAACTTTTATTTTATTTTAATAATATTAACGCATTTAAAATTTAATTATTATTTTATTAATATTATATATGTATAAATATATATTTTATATACCGTTTTAAAATTTAATAAAATTTATTAAATTATATAAATTATGTTACGTGTTAATTAAATTATTAATTAAATAATAAATATTACATGTTACGTATAAAGTTATTTACATTACGTATTGTATATATTTAAATATTTAAATATTTTATTATATATAACGTAATATAATTATAAATTAATTTTATTTTTTTATTATTTTATGGATAAAATATTTTATATTTTATAATTAAATTAAATTAAATTAAGTTAAATTAAATTTAATGTAAAACCTTAAAATTTAACCAATTAAATCTTGCGTTTAAGCTGTTAGATCCAAGGTTTAAACCTTTGCCAAATCAGGTTAAACTTTGGGCTAATGGTCTAGGATAACTTTGGGATGAGCTGCGCCCTCTGATGGATGTATTGAAGATGGATGCGTGCACCTGAACATGTAAAATGAAAGGTATCTGTAGGTACCTAGGTACCCCTTACCTGGATCTTTAGGGGTACATTTCCAATATGTGTGCGTCTATGTTTACGGATACAAGGACTCGTGATGCAGCATTACAATCGGTAATGGCATTTAGATGAGTCTCGTAGTATCGATGATGATTAAATCTATGTAAGGATTACGAGAATAATTATGTGTACAACTATAGCCATTCCGTGGGCGCTGACGCCTCATCAGTGGCTGGTCCGTGCGTAGCAGCGGATCCACATATGCACGCTGATAGGGACCGTGTAACCCCCGCTAGATTAAAGATTGGAGATTTCCCTAAAGGCGCGCCCTTCTTGTCGCCTACGTCACTCTTTTTAATAACTCCAAAACCAATCAATGAAATGCCTGCTTCACGATTATTATATGAGCAACTAATAAATGCCTACCTACCTAGACACTTAAGGTAGGCAATATATTAGAACATGTAGTAACTACCTCCCAGGTATATAAGTGAAAGATAGACTAACCTTAGGTATACCTACTTACCTATCACTCAAATTACGACAATATCAACTAAAAACGATGGCAAATCTAAAGGACTACCGACTTCTCTCCTTCGACGTCTATGGCACTTTGATAGACTATGAAACTGGTATACTATCAGCTCTGGAGCCCCTCCTCGCTTCCAATAATCGCACAGATATTCCCCGTCTTAAGGTGCTAGAGGCCTACCACGAGTGCGAAGTCAAGCAACAACAGGAAACCCCTACTATGCCGTATTCTCAGCTCCTCTCTACTATACACCATCAACTCGCCACTAAGCTAGGCCTAGCACCACCAACGGCCGAGGAGTCACGAGCTTTCGGCAATTCGGTAGCTGACTGGCCAGCTTTCCCGGATACTGTCGATGCCCTTCGTCGACTATCCAAACATTATAAACTAGTAGTCCTCTCCAATATCGACCGCGTCTCCTTTGGTCTAACCAACTCTGGCCCGTTACGTGCATTCCCCTTTGATCTCATCATCACGGCTCAGGACATCGGCTCATATAAGCCAAATCCTCAGAATTTCGAGTATATGCTCAAAGAAGTCAAGGAAAAGTTCGGGGTCGACAAGGAGCAGGTCATACAGACAGCACAGAGCCAGTTCCATGACCATCACCCTGCACGAGCCATGGGAATAAGATCGGCTTGGATTGTGAGACCAGGCGCCGTTATGGGTAATAGAGAGAAGGAAATCTATGACTGGAAGTTCAACACATTAGGAGATATGGCTGATGCACTTGAGGCCGAGTTGGGCGCTTCATAATCGGGTATAGCTACTACTTGACTTCATGAATTATATATAAGCTGGCTACGAAAATTCTAGCAGTATATATGATTTACGTCCAGGTATTTCGTTGACGTGATACTCGAATATTCCTTCCCTCCCTCGTGCGAGTATATAGTCGTTCCCGAATTATCTATACATTCTCACCAGTAGAACCCCTATGCTTTCATGACCTTCTCCAACACCTTCACTCTGCTTGTCCAGCTCCTACATCTCTTCCCAAAGATATACATCGGAATCGCGCATAGGCAGATGAAAACGTGTATCCCGCCAATTATACAAAATACCTCCTTCGGCCCTTGACTACTTATCCAATCTGATATGAAGTAGTTCATCCCGAAAGAGTAAATGTTCCTTAAATTGATAGCTGCAAACGCTTCTGGGGCCTTGTCGCGATGGCAGTCCGTCAAGTAGCCATATACAGCAATAGTCATAAATCCCACGCTGAAATACTGTAGCCCGTAGAAAATCGCCGGGGCAATCCAGGGGTCTTGTTGTTGAAGCGACCAACCGAAGCCGAAGAACGACATGCCTCCCAAGACGAAGGTAATCACGATGAGTACAAGTCGGAACTCGGGCTCGTATATACCACCATTTCTTCGAGACATTGATTTGATGATCCAGTCCGCGATAGGTCCCGATATGAAGGCTCCCACGATTGCGCCGATCAGGGAAGCAATGGAGACAAGCCCGACACCTGAGATGCTGAAATTATACGGAGGTGCCGTAAAGAGCTGGGCCAAAACGCTACCCACGACAACCAGCCAGGAGGTTGTAAGCCCGTAGGCAAAGAAAGAGAACAATACTTGTGGGAATATAAGCATGAGCAGCGGCCGAGTAAGAACCTTCCAGAATGGGTCGTCACACACTCTCCCGTGGAAGATCTTCAAATCGTGCCAATAACTATGCTTTTTCTCTGACCAAGAGGCATCTGTATTTGCACGTTCTATAATCTCGACCTCAACATCGATATTTTCATCTCCAGATAATCTGCTATCTGCTTTCACTTTTGGGCTTTCGTGCTGCGCAGGCTGCTCTGCTTGTTGACCGGCTCCAGATACTTTCCCGAGATCAGTATTAAGGGATTCATCTCGTCTGTATGCCGTCTCGGGGCAAAACAAGAATAGTACTACTATCCAGATGCCAAACATAATGGCACAGATACCGTAGGTCCAGTTCCAGCCTAGGTCTTCGATAATATAACCAGAGATGATCGTGCCTCCTCCGACACCAATAGATAGGCAGAGACCCCAAGCTGCCAGTCTGACTCCACGCTGATGGACGAAGTAAATGTCTGCTATCGTAGTAGTAACCAAGCTAAAAGAGAAAAAGAAAAAGTACCTAAATTAGCAAATTATCGCATACTTTATCTTTCGAACAGTCGGAAGTTAGGTACCTACACTTCAAACGGAGACATGCCAATACAACCTATAAGTCGAAATCCAAGTAGACTGCCAAAAGTATGCGCGTAATACCCTCCGATGCTACTAATGAATAGCAGCAGGTTTCCAAGAAGGAAGACCGGTCTACGTCCCCAGACCACAGCCATAGAATTGGTGAAGAAGCATGACAGCCCAATGACTAGTACGCCATATCCGAGATCACCGTTAAGTCGATTATAAGACATCCCAAATTGGGTAGCCATCTGGGCATAACCGGGTGATATCATAGGACCCTGTGAGGAATCATTTCAATTAGCTTATTCGTAATACAGAGTCCGATACAGGGAATTTATCCGGGATATTCAGGGGTGTATCAACATTAAAAGGTAGCCACTCACCCATGCTCCTACCACTGCGGTATCAATGCAGATAAAGAATAGCATGACATCCTTCTTCCATAGAGGCCAGTTAAGGGGATCATTCGGACTATTACTTGGTTGGGGCACCAACAGAACGTCAGAGTCCCTGCCTTTCCCGTGGAGTAGATTCGATGTGTTGAGCCGGCCATCGTGATGGACATCTTCTACCCCGTCAACGTCCGTAAGGAGAGCGGTGCCGGGGACATGCGATAGATGCTTATCTTCAAGTACACCGAGACCCATTTTGAAAGGATCCTTTACAGAATTATGAGTATCAGAGGTGAGATGATGGGTTCGCTTCACTTCAGGGGCGGATACCGCTGGTTATAACCACCACGCGGCAGGCAATGGCAGGGTATCTCCAAATCATTAACATAAACACTCTCTTGATATATTGGGGTATCATTAACGGGATCAGCTCCAGGGACTGTGGAGCATAGATTTAATCTACCATCTATCTTGCATACCGGTTTGGTGCAGATTGAGGGGAACCTTGCTCGACGTGACATGAAGGCATCACGGCAATACCTTAGTGTAAGATGATTTCGCAGCTAGCGAGGCACACGTGTAGATAATTCCACTATGTTAGCTACCAGGATGGGAAATATTACCTACGTAGTTAGCAGGATCTAGAGTTTCTAGACACATCTGATGCCCTTTAGCTAGACGCTGCGGACGCAGCTACAGAACTTTCAGCTCGGCAAATCTTCCGTTTACGATTCCTGTCACATACAGTCTTCTTCCCTCACCAATAGAGGCTGTCTAAACATAGAGGCGTCTGCCGATGAAGAATAACAGAAATACTCCAAGCGAGTGTTTGCAAATGGTTGAATACAATTTATCCAAGTGTTCGACACTCTCCCTCAACTAAATATGCCAAACCTCTTCTTGATAATATCAAACCCCGCTTCCATCTCCCGGAAGCTGTTCGAGCCCTGCTCATTGGTTAGCAATCAATTCAACAGATAGTTAATATATATAATTCGACTTACATCCTTCGGTGACCTCATCGACAGTGTTCGGAACAGAGCATTTATTCGCTTCAGCGAAGTCTTGCGTCTTAACTCCCTCGCAAGTGTTGCCGAAGCAAGCTCCATCCATTAGTCTCTGGAGTGCGTCGTCTTTCCATCCAAATACATAATCAGCGTGTTGACCGTATCCGGTACTGGCTCAACGTTAGCATCGTGGTTACATACGCGGGTTTCATGGCGTGAATTACTTGTCTCCTGTGCTCAGGACGAACGGTTGGGATCCATCTTCTGGCCAGTCATCTGGATTGTTAAACGCGGTTGTATCCCAGACAATCTATGGATAATTTAGCTTAGATTATATATCCTTAAGCATTACCAGCATTCTCATGTAAGATGGAGCCTCATAATCCGAATCTCTTATAAGAAAAGGGGTATAGGTTACGTACCTCGAGCATCAGTTGTGGAATTTTGATAGGATGACTCGATGGACAATCTCCAGTGGTAGCGAATGACGAGGGACCTCCAACAGGGTAGGCTACGTGGTCCTGGTGGTTTGGACTGTCCAGACGCTCCCCATCCCAGCAACTATATTCACTATTAGTTTCCACTCGCCATATGTAGATGTGGAAGATAGGCAATCTTACGTTGGAAAGTGGACATTAGATCTAATACCGCCTAAGCACGGCGTCGAGGGGAAAGTCTCGGTGTCCAATTTTGGATCAGCACAAGGTGAATAATCGTCGCCCTTGAAGTCGGGGCCTGTGAAGCAACGAAAACAGCTCTGAGACTTTAAACCTGATCCTTTCTTCTCGCGTCGCATAGAATCCCCGACAAGCATACGGAACCCCTAGTTATGAGAGTTAGTTATTCCCAAAAGTAGATTAACTTTCCATTGGCCCTACTGGTTTAAATGCAGTGACCGTCTTCTTGCCAGGCGAAAGGTAATAGACCGTAACGCCACCTTGAGATCCCTCGAGAAGCCTATTCGGGATTTGGGGCACTCGCTTGTAAGTACCGTTTCGCGCCTTGAAGTAAACATTTGCCGTCCAATAGTTGGAAAAGTCGTCGCTAAAGCTGCATGTCGTACAGGTAGCGAGGGACGAGACATCGGCGGAGGGAATTGAAGCATTGAAAACATTCTACGAGAGTTGAGTAAATTATACTGGAAAGCAGTATTAAGTGACTTACTCCTCCGACAATCTATGAAAGAGTAAGCTAAGAACAGTTTTCAAGGAGGTTCTGAGAGCCGTACCTGGTGAAGGTGCGGGGATGGATTCATTCCTGGATTTACGAGACTAGAGCAAAACGAATCAGTCGTTATTCATGGAGCTGATCCTAAAGAACCCATATCTTACGGGTCAAGACGCTCAATAACAACCTGGGAACATCCGAATCGAACAAGGCTATTGGTGCCGGGTCCTTTTACTGGAGTTACCTGCGGCGCCGCATCAACGAGCGCCGCAAAGGATAACAGTGTAGACCAAAACATTGTCACTCGTCCAAGCGAACCAAAAGATGCGATGGAGCACTTTCTATGAGGGAAAGATGAACAAGCATACCTAGGTACCTAAGGTAGGTAGGTAGTAATGCGAACCACATTGTTGAAATATGAGCCATAATAAGCTAAAGGTTTCTCAATACATCATAAACACATGCCGGCTTTATGCTCTTTGATATCACTATATGACAGTAATCTACATTGATTGCTAATATGATACCAGCCGCTCCAATCCTGGCTCTAGTTCCCAGGGTATAAGCAGATGTAACCTAGAGAACTGTTCATTGGCCTATGGCTATTTTACCATAACTACCGGATACATATACGTAAGTCTTAATTGCGATCTCTAAAATCCCAAGGGAAGTTCCCCTTTCACATGACTGGTGCCCTCCAGTGTTGATAAAGAAGTATAAAAATAGTCTCAGGAGATTTTAAGATCGCTGGCTGTTTGGGCTGTGGTCAATTTTGACAGCCACAGGGAACTATACGATATCTTTTGTCAATTATTAGCCGGATATAGTATCTGACAGCTCGCGGTTCAGTCAAGTTGCTATTATCATGTTATTAAAGGCCACTGTGCTTCGATTATCTCCTTAGTTGTTCTCCCAGGCAAATGTACCCCTTTGCTCCTCAATGCTTCTACATGCATAGTACTCATGGGATTCAGGAATATAACTCTGTATAGAAGAAATGAGAAGTAGTTACACATACTCGTTATAAGTAGGAACCATAAATCTACCCTCTGATCCATAAACTTCATTTCCTGCAAACACCCATTCCTACATATGTGCGCCTCCAGCCCAATGCTAAGGTACCTACCTAGCCGATCGCCATGCACAATATTCGATATAAAACTATATGTACTCACCTCCACGTGGTTGAACCGTGGTAAGGAAATAAATCCGCGAAAATAAATGATAAGTGAAGAAAGGGGCGCGAAAGCCCAACCTAGGTAATCATGATATGCTAACACTCATCAAGGCCATGATGTTTCAACCCCCAACAACTGATCCATAATACTGATAGCAGCAGCCCGGTGCTCTTCAATGTCGACATTTAAAAGGAACTCAAACTTGTGCCGCAAGTGCTGCTGAAGCAGATCCGCATTGAGCCCGATTCCCGGTGCGCGACCCGTGATGAGCAATCCCGTCTCGGCACTTAACCGCGTAGCCTGTTCGGCTCGGGGCCGGCATACCTGGTCAAAAGCCCGGAGCGCAGCCGGGATCGCAGCTCTCGACGGCAACCGGCCGAGCAGTGTGCTAAGGAGCAAAGCCTCCTCGATGGAAAGGCTTATGCTAGCGCCCTGGAATGGCAACATGCTATGGGCGGAGTCTCCGATTAGGCAGATATTCTCAGTCACGTAAGTTGGTGTCGGCTGGTGTTCGAGCAAGCAAAGAGCGGCTACTTGCACAGTATATACGCTCAAGATAAGCTGAACGGATGTTAGTTGAGACAAAGATCTCTTCACAAGATACATTTCACTTACATCGATCGTACCCTGACAGACTGGTACTCTATTGCTTGAGAAGGCTTCCCGGAACTCGTCTGGAGTGAACAGCTTTGCCCATGACGGTTCCGAAAGCCCATCTTCCTCCTCAATGTCATCCTCTTTACCGAACACAATGATCTGGACTTCGTTGCCATTATCGAGCAAATCGTAGATGATAGTAGTTCCATCTCCAATCCAACCTACATGGCGGGGGTTGCTTGGGTCAAGAGACTGTGTGCCCATTAGCTGCTGTGCCCGTTGAAGAGGTACTTTGATAGGTAATCCCCAAAACCCTGTAGAATGCGGCTGGACTAGAGATCCGTCGCTACCAAGAACAAGCTGTCGCGTGAAGCCATGAGTGCCGTCCGCACCGATTACGACGTCATATTTCTTTGTTGACCCATCCGCAAAGGTGAGTAATAGTCCTTGCGCTGAGGGTAGTTCCGTGACAAATGCTATCCGCGTCCCGGGGTGCATCATATGCGACGGTACACAATCAAGCATCTCCGCTAGAAAAGCTTGACGGCTGACATTCTTCTTACAGCCCTCCCCGAAGCCGTTTATCTCTATCTCCTTTCCAACATGAGGACCAGCAGCCACTCGTGTCTCAGTTGTAGTGAGTACGGCACCGGCACGGTCGAGGCAGTATTCTAACTCCGGATCGATAGCAGCTAGAATATATTGTGCTCTTGATGTGAAAGCGAGCCCCGGACCCTCATCTCTGAACGTAGGCCGCGGCTCGTACATATCAATAGTAAGGTGAGGATACCGCAAAAGCCCGCGCAAAAGTGCGGCGCCAGCCAGCCCCCCGCCTATGATGGCAACTCTTATTGCCGAAGGAGAGTTTGACATTTCGCTTGAAAAAACCGTACGTAGCTCAAAGAATGGTATGAAAGAAAAGGCGTACTACTGATGAAATGGCTTCCAAGATAAGTTGTTAGTGATTTTGGATTCCATAGTCGGAAGATGAGGCCTTTTAAGGAGGCAACTTCCTGAGGCGTGTTTCGGCATTGTTTAAATAAAGCTATCAAGACACATGCTCTATTCATGGTGATCAAGGGTTATTCTAAGCATCACCTATCACCTGCTCTGCATCAGGATGTGAGCTGTGTAGCTGTGCTCTCATGTTACCGGTGCGGGTCGAACATGACACTTGCTAGGATGTCATGATTCTAATAAATCCCGCCATTCCATTCTTAGCATAGGAGTAGGAAAGTTTCCCACGAAATAGACTTCACTCTATGGGGGAATATGGGGCTGAGAAGTCATATAGATCTACACTAGTTAGGTTATAAGATCGGTGGAGGTTTGACCAGTATGTATCGGATCGAAGAATAAAAGAAGCCCCAGTCCAAGAACATGACCGACGAAAGTAGTAATGATCTTCCAATTTATGTAATCATCTAGAACACGGCGTAATAACTAATAAGGCATAATCTTTGTATGGCTCAGTGCGAAGGGATCGTCCTTAGCCTCAAGTTGAATCTTACAATTACCTACGACGAAGCCGCTTAAGCACTTACTCTATTTGGCAACCGGCGCGAAGTATTCTGGGCCAGCCGCATTAAAGATACTTTAGCCAATCGTAAAGCTGTATTTAGATCTTATGGGACTTGGTAAGATCGTCTTGACTAGGGTTTATTAGTTGCGATTGGCCGATAAAGTCCATCCCAGAGACTGGGCAGTGAAGATCCAATCCATCCAAGGTATCCATCCTAGGTATCGAAATAAACCCGTACTTTTGATTATAGCGACGGCGCAAAAAGATCAGGACTAATCGTCGAACCACAGGTAGTCTAACGTCTCGTGGGTGTTACTAAATACATAGCAGTAATTCAACGATGTCTTGAAACATTCCGAGTTCCCCGAGTCTCGAATGATATCAGATATTTGACTAATCAGCGCCTAACTGAGCATATACTATAAAATTGTAGGCATCGCGCAGTGGCAGACGCGGCTTTTCAAAATTTTTAATTATATTCCTAGCACTTCCTAGCTTATTACTACTATAGTGTAATGGTATATATATCCTCAGTAGTATCCTTATTATCTTATCCGATTAGTCTCACCTTTAGAATACTCGGATATTTCGTAGCTAGATCGAATCTAGATGATACAGCCGTAACCCCCTAGGCCGAGTTCTATATCCCAGTCGACAGATCCATTCTAGATCTACCGTTTGACGGCTCTAATTGGCCAGTTGACAGAAATGATATTCTTAACTTGCAATCGGTATACCAACCCGGTTCAGGCAGCGAAATTTCCTTCATGTGATGAAAAGGCTTGCTTCATAGCGGTTGCTAAAGTTGAAACTGACCATATGCCATAAGAGGTCACTGTCGCGAATGAACCACCGAGTGTTAATTATGGACTACGGCGGATTCTGCGGCGGATTTCGGCGATTTGAGCACAGGGAATGATTGCATCTTAGATTGGGAGAGTAGGAGTCGGCGTTGAGGGTTTCAATTCGAGTTTCCACATGAGTAAAGGGGATGTGAGTAGAGACGGTTGGCGTCTGGTCGGTTAGTATGGACATAATCTGTCAAGGCTAAACAGTTAAGATAGGGGTTTACGACATAACTTTCGATTAATGCCTTTTTGGTTGTTCTAAGAACTAATTCATCGTCACCTATCTAAACACGATCTAGAGAGGGGTTCCCGAGCTACGAGCTCATTTCCTAAGGTTAGGCTTAAGACAAGCGCGTTCGTATCTTAGGGGTATCATCTACTTGCGTCTTAAACCTTCTCCATCATTGTCATCATCATAAACTTTTACCAACCCTGTCACGTCAAATCTTAAAGTCCTTATCGTACCGCGAAATATCCTCCTTTCCTCCGCTCAACTGTCGATGGCGTCTAACTAAGCATATACCATATGCTCCTATTCAGTAAGGCTTGAATGCCACTGTCTCTAGGCCGGCATACCTAGAGACTTGGGGCTCGATGTCCAAATGTTGGTGATATCAGGTGTATCTATCGCAAACACATCTTACCCTAGAGGTCAGCCATGTAAGTTGAAGTGATATAGCTAGCCCAGAAGCTTGTTTATGTTTCTAACAGCTTCCAGGTCGCATTAGATCTCCCCTGCTAAGCTACCTACAGAGGGCGAAATCCAGCTTCTTCGAGCTGTTTACCCTCTGGTAGCATTGGACGACCCTGCATAGGAAATGGCCAAAACAATGGATTCTCTAGGGTTCGAGTGGCATGCGCCACCGGTCCGGTGCCGCCCCTAGGTCTAAAACTGGGGTTTTGATCTTGTTCAGACGCTCCCTTATCTTGACTACCCTCTATGATGCCCTCCATTTTCTCCCCACGGTTGAAATGTGTTTGCGGCGTGGGTGAACCGTGCCTTCCTTGTGCGCCTCCAGGACCGCTCATATCTAGTTTGGTCCAAGAACAAAGGTAGTCGTTCTCGCTGACGTTAGGTGCAAAGAAATTTAGGCTGCTAGTCGTCGGTCGAACCGAGTTGTCGGGTTCCTCCGATACGCCCGTGCTAGGCGGTATATCTACCTCAATCCCCCACTTTTTCGCAAGGAATTGTAAAATGTTCAGTGCTTGGTGAGCAAAATGATGGCATGGTGCCATCTCAGTTAAGTGTGCTATGCCTTGGTTTAGAGCTTCAGCTACCCTCGGGCTCAGTTTCGCAGTGGTGCTCGAGCGCGAGGCCGGTTCTAGTTGATCTCTGTTGCTAGAAGACAATCGCTTACGGCCATGCTCGGTCTCGGTCTCTTCAGGTTTCACTGTCGAGGTGGATGGTGCCTTAGAAGCCTCGGCGCCTACAGCAAGATACATGATAGAGGATGTAAGTACAAAATACGGTACAAATGACGGTGTACGGCGAAGCGTATAGAGTTGGGAGTATGAACGAAGTAGGCCTTGGATGGCATCTGCTGCTTGAGCACAGACATCGCGAGGAAGTATGCTTGAACCAATGATTCGTAGTTTGATGAGGGGCCGAAAAAGAAGTAAAATGGCGAAGTGATAATACATACTAATAGACCAATGAGTCAAATTAAACAGCATAAGCGCATAGAATGACTTACTGGGCGAAAAGGACCGCAGGCGTAAAGTTGTGCCCTAATCGCAAAACCTCGGGGATCCTATCATACCAATTCAGGTATTGCGTATAAATACTGAGTAGGTCTCTGCTTGTAATGGGCTTGGCAGGAGAGTGTAGGACATATAGCGACTGATGAACAAGCTCACTAAGCTCGCAGAAGCATTTGTAAACAGACCTTACATTCGATGGCTGCTCGCAAGATCGTTGTAAAGGGGCGCCTATACAATTGGTTAGACTACGCCCGATACCACCTATACCGCGAGAAAACCTGGCAGAGGTATCTGTTCATATGACTTACCATCGTCCGTATAAGGGACCCACAGAGAAGCTTCTATGTCATCAATAATACCAGGTTTTGGCGGTAAATGCGGGAAGCAAGAACACTGCGGCAGAGAACCGGTCGCTAGGGACCATGCACTTTATATACGTCAGCTGGAGCACTGGAGACAACCGGTGACACGCTTACTGGTCTAAGGCAAACGCACCCCAAAACGTTGCAGCCTGTACGGCTATCTCATCCTCGTCACCATCGTTCTGCAGGTGGTGGAGTCCCATTTCGATGGCCAACCGTATGCTTTGTCCCGCGTAGTACCAGGATTCCGAATCTCTCCCGCAACTCGCCTCCCGAATAGACATTATCCCCAGGGCCTGAATAGTGGTCAAATTATGATGGTCGTTTTCCCGATAAAAAAGTCTCAGACACTCCTTGAAGAAGTGGTCGCCCGCGGTGCGCGGGTCGTTCGGATTTGCCCGCGTATTCGGTTGCGTCGAGAAACGGCAGCCGAGCGCTAGCAATGCGTTCACTAGTATCGGCGAGCAATATCGATTCCTCCCACTGATAAAGTCTTTCATGAAATGCTCCTTGCTCAGAGACGCAAACGTCGGGTATTCCCAGCAGAAATAGAGCGCCAAAAGATGCGATACCAAGCCACTATCTCCGGTGACTGTGGTCCATGTGCCGGGTGGGACTTTCTCTTCAGGAGAATCCAATGGCGCAAGGATTTGGTCTACTCCACGGTATCGGGGTCCTTCCGCTGTCGACGACTGCTCTTGGAGCCACGTGCCAACACGGGACCGCGGGGGCGCCTCAGTGGTCCACTGCATGATATCTGGATGAGAGTCGCTACGGGTGGACACGGTCTGACTGTGCGATGAGAAGTTCCAAGGGCTATTTGGATCAAAATCCTGGCTCATAGTATGCGCTTGGCCTGTCGCAGGGCTTATTCCCATGGTATTGTAACCTCCAGGACCGGCGAGCGTACTGCTGTAAGTTGAAAGAGGAGGCAGACTAACTCCGCCCCTAGCTTCGCCTGGCCGTGCGAACCCGGGTCCAGCAGAAGCTAAAGAAGCACCACCGCCTAACCATTCCGATATCCCTTCGACAGACTGCCCTTGCCGCAGTCTCTGCAAGACCTCCTCAACTAAATCGGGGCGGACGAGAGCGGAGAAGACCGAATCGCTTTGGCGCTGTTGACGTCGCAGTGCTTCGATTTCGTGGCGTAGATTTTCCTTGGATTGTCGCACGGGAATCTCGTATATGCATTCGACATCCTTCTGCGATTTGCACCGACCGCACGGCTTTTGGCCGTCGCACTTAGCGCGCTTCTTCCGGCACTCGGTACAGGCATTAGGTGTGACAACGCCGAGACCCCTCCTCCGTTTAGACAGCTGCGCGTTCGGAGTACTGCCAGTTCCGGAAGTGCCAGAGGCTTCATATTTCGGGGTGGGTTTGGACGAAGAGGACGTCTGGCCGGTGGATGGTCCGCTACCCGGATCCCCCTCCATCGTAGCGGGTTCAAGGCTAGTAGGAGGGCATACTCAGATCAGAGAGACGGGGACACACGTAAACACACCTCCTGCCAGCTAGATAATAACGATGAATAGGTAATCTAAGATGCGCGTCGCGCGTGCGACCTGCTTTGGGATATGAGATACAGCGACGGGTGCGATCCGAAGAGATTCTCTCACAATATCCAAACGAATATCCAAACGAATATACGAACTACTTTGGGGTTGTTTTTAAAATTGGACGAGCAGGAGAGAGGCAATTCAATATTGCGCTATATAAATGCTCCGTGTTCGATCGGATAGAATAGCTCATGGGAATAATCTCTATCCATATATGTACTGTTGTATGTGTAAAAGAAAAAAGCAAATGTTCAGAATTAAGTTTAGGATTTCAAGGATGACAGCTTTTGCGAAGTAGGTAGGTACCTAAGTACCTAACACATATGGTTCCTTCTGATAGGAGGTAGTAGACACATGTATTGACGTTAGGCACATACCTACCTAGGTACCTCGGTACCTAGGTATAGAGTACAGTGTTAGTACATCCCAGATCCCAACAGTTGTTGTGTAATAGAAACGGGAAAGGCCCTGATGCATACTCACAATAGGTACGTTACCTATACATTTCTGCTATCTTAGGTAGTTAATTACATGAACGTAAACTGAAGAGCGGGTGGGGGGAAAAATAGCAAAGGGGATTTTGAAAATCCCATATGTTAGGTACCTAGGTAGACAGAAAGGCGTCAAAAAAACTGGCACACCTTTATTAACAATTATCCTGGTAGGTGCGCCACCTTTTTTGACGTTCTTCTGCGACATACGGAAGCATCCCAGCAGTAAATCGTGCATCACGCCATTCCCGTGTAAGTCCATATATTCGGCTTAAAAAGATTAAGTATCTCATGTCTAATACAGCTTAATTCAATTCGTAAATACGTCATAGTTTCGTAGGAAATCCGTCTAATGTTTAGATCTCCAAAATGTTCTTAAGTGGTCAGTCATTACGAGGACCGACTATGTACATTCGAAATTATGGGCTTCTAGCCAATCACCGCATAACCTAGCAATTTTCCAGTTACAGGGGCATCGAGATGAACCAATAACTAGCTAACTACCTATGCTTATACTTCGTCCTCATAACATAGTCTAGTAGTTGTGATATAGGTACGTTGATAGGAGTCCAAAGGAGCAGAAGTTATAATAAACTTAAAAAGTGTATAAAAACAACTTTGTGTTTAACACTTATCAACTTGACTCGAGGACTAAGGTACATATGTGCCTACTTACATCAGGTCGTTAAAGCTATACCCCTAAATATCAACAATACGACCACCCACAGCGGCTCTCTCAGAAATCAACCCATACGGACAAGACATAACGGTACTATTACCTTAACATTCTTATAAGAGCCTAACCCTTAAGGCAGTAGTTACGAAGATTCCGAGTCTCGAAAGAACAAGCCATGCAACTTTCATGTCCTGGCAATTTGATGATATTATTAAATCCTCTTGTTAGACCGACATAGTCTTCTAGGGGGTGGTACTTGTTTATTCTCTAAGGGTTGAGCTGTAATTAGTTGGAAGGACGCCTTTCTTGGGAAGGGTTTGGATTTAATTAGGGAATACTTGCATATACAAAATTCCTTATACAGCAGGCACGGAGATAAAGCCTGATAGATGGGTAGGTACCTAGTGATTATTGTACACTAGGTAAGAATACTTTCCTTTTCACAATCAAAATAATCAACTCCTCGTGTCCTATAACTGTGTTTCATTTCAATCACTAAGAAGCGTACCTAGATAATCAATATCTTAGTCTTATCAGTACCCAGGGAGCAGATAACCATGCCTAGGACAATTATGCTGGTATATTAAGCTTCCAAAAGCATGTGTTCAGGGGAATGTAATATACAGGCTACAAGGAGTACCGCTAGGTACCTATTAGATAGTTGGCTTCGAAATTCGCTACAACACTTTACGGATCCATTAAGCTATAAGTCCTCTGAACTCGCTATGAGTCATAGGTCGACTCCTATTACCCCTGTTCGATTGACTTCTTGGGGGTTGTCGTTAACTCAAGAACTGTTCATGGTCGTGTTCGAGCATTCTATTTACTATAGTACACATTACTCCCTACCTGGCCTCAATATCGCTTAACTGGACTTCTACTCTTGGTGGGGCTTCTACCTCGCTCGCCTTTAGATGGACTCCGCCGTGACATAGGCGTCTCCGGGGGTGGAAGCGCGTATCTCGGCACCTCGTCCGTGTCGGGAGTCTCTTCATTGACTAAGAGGTGTCGATTACTCGTGTGTCGTGGAGTTTGAGGTTGTATTGCCTGCCAGTATACTTGCTGGGAGAGAGGCCTTAGGTGTTGATCACCTGCTTGATGTGACGGGAATGGGGCCGGCGGATGAGACTGGGGAATATCCGTGAATGCGTTAGCACTCTTATATAGCGACCTGCCGCTGTATGCGAATATCGTGAACAGAACAAGCAACAAGGCCTAGTTTCAAATTAGCCGGTTATCACCATCATCTGTGTATCATATATGAAATAAACTTACTATAGTCTTGTACGACATCGTCTCCACAATCTCGTTGAGAATTTTGGCCATCTCCTTGGCGCTGCTTGATACCTGCTTGACGTTATCCGGGTTTTGGTTCATGCAGGCGAACCATTGGTCACATAGCTCATACATGGCCGGTAACCGTTTATCTACCGGAAAGCATCTGTTCTCCCGATAATCGCTTGAGCATTTATCAATCTCGGCAAGGATATCAGCCCTTAGTGCTTGTCTCTCGGTAGAGAAGTCCTGACGCAAACCGTCGATGACGGCCCAGCCAACCCAACACGTAGCCGATACGCAGAATAGGTTGAATGCGAAAGTCAGCCAGTAGCCAAGAATGCTTGGGGCATATGGGTGCCGCTGAACAGTGGCTAGAAAGGCGCCGAACCACCCATCCTTGCTGCGGTTTGTTTGATCCTTGCGGGATTTGCTCGGCTGGAATGTGCTCTCATCCGACTCATAATCGGACTCGTCGCATTCATCCTGCTGGAGATAAGGTAGACGATATCCGCTGACATCTCTATCGGCATTGTACCGTTTCCTCTTGCGCACCTTATCTCGTGAAGCAAAGATAGTCCTGGCTATCTCACCTCTACCGGAGGCCTTTTTTGGTGATGGCGCTTTGAATTTACTCATATTTGCGGGTGTAATAGTCATATGCGCAAGATTAGATGAATGTTCATTCTCAGGGGTGTCAGGATAGTCGGAGACGTCAGTAACGGCAGGACTGGATTCGGCAGGCGAGAACTCGGATAGCGCATCAGAATCGATGGGTTTCCTTGGTGTTGTAAAGGCAGGATTTCGAAAGGGCGGCGCGGTGGCTGTTCTTTGGAGAGTAGATGTAGAGAAGATAGACGGTGGATGAGGCGTGAGAGGCGGCGCTTTATGGGAAGATGGGGTGCTTTGCGTGCGTTCGAACGGATTCTGACCGAAGGTGGCGTGAGAGTTGTTTTTGTTGTTGATGAGACTCGAAGAGCCGAAGATACCTAGATCAATCACGAAACATTAGCTTTGACTGCTTGTTTGCGATGCTTCTAGGCGATTGTTGCCGTAGCTATTTCTATCGCTGGGGGCGAAGCTGAAGCTGAAGCTAAGGCTGAGGCTATAGTGGATGATCGACATACCTTTGGCTTGCAATCTCTTAGTGGACTGTACAAACGGACTTGACGGGTCTACGGGAGCATTGTTCTGGTATTCCCAATCCATGGGAGATTCATAGGTTCGCCGGTCCATTCGGCCTCAGTCGAGTAAATATTGACAAAAAAAAAGATACCACGCTGTAGCTTTCCGACCAAAAGTGGAATTGATTGTATGAAGGGAAAAATAAAGTAGTATTGGAAGGAAATCTTAGGTAGTCAATTAGAAATTTCTTAGGAAGCGTCCAATGTAGTCGTTGATTCGCAGATCCCTTTTTTTGAGGCTGATGAGAATGGGCAGTTCCTGTTGGCAACGATCGATTAGCGATAAAGTAAACAAAAAATTAATGACCATTTCAATATGTATGCGCTATGTTAACGTATTTCATAGGTCAGCGGCCCACACAAGTCAAAGGCCCAGCGAAAATACATACAAAATACGTCTGTGCGTAACCGTGCACTTTACTCAAAAAAAATCATATTAAAAATCGGTTTTCAAATTTAGGTATTTATTTAAATTATAATAATAATGGTATTTTTTATAAATTTCATTTTAATTTTTTAAATTAAATAAAAATAAAAAACTTAAAAGTGGGTCCGAAAATATTAATATCTTTTATAACTTTTATTATAATGCAATAAAAAAATTAAAAAAATTCTTTTCGTATTAGTTTTATAGTTAAATAAAACATATTAAAATTTGAGAACTTTTAATTAAAGATTCGTAAAGTTATGAATTTTCAAAAACGTTGATTTTCGGTTATATTTCGGCTGGGCCTTTGACTTGTGTGATCCGCTGACTTGTGTTTTACGTTATGTAATCAGCAACATTGAACGGTTTTAAGTACTGTGCATGAGAGGTAGGTACAAATACATATAGGTAGTGTACTTTACGTAACCCATGCATGGACCACAGTACGTGCCTCTTACCTTCCGTACCTAAATCTGTTTGCCGTTTCTGATACTTTTTGAATTAAACAGTTGCTGTTTGGAAATATTATTCCCGTCGACTCCCGACCTTTTAACAACTTCATCAATTTGTCACTTACGTGTTGGGGAACTGCTATCGACTAGTTTATCAATCACCTTTTTTATATTCTATTTTAATTCCCCCGATTATAAAGAGTCTTCCCCATTTGTACCTTCTTTTTCTTGGTTCTTCTACAAACAATTGGACCGCAGATAGTCGACAAAGTCCATCATAGCCTTCGCAACTTTTCATCTCGTTCGCTCCTATTTTCTCGCCCTTAAAATCCTCTACCAACTTTCCCCACCATAGTAATCGAAATGTCAGACGCGGGCTCGCCTGCCCAAAGCCTCCACGAGGAAGAAAACGACGAGACTCGTGAAGGATCAGGAGACTATGACATTGCCCGTGCTGGCGACTCAGATAAAGATTCAGACGCCCTATCCGACATTGACGAGGATCAATTCGACGACTATGACCCCGCTACTGCTCGCGTTGACGAGAAACGACCTGAACCCCAGGTTATCGACGAGGACGCGGCACGTACGCTAAAGGCTGGAAAGCGAAAGGGAACAGCTACGAAGAAACCTAAGGAAGGACGGCGCGCGAAGAAGCGATCACGCGATGATGATAATGACGGAGCAGACGGCGAGATTCTACATACTAAACGTGTCCGCAAGGTTCCTGGAGCAGATGCTCCGGAGCAGGAATCGGAGCATGAAAATGAAGAGAATCTAACCCCAGAAGAGAGACGGCGTCGAGCTATCGAGCGCGCTGCCAGAAATCAGTCGAAGCCAAAGGGTGTCAGACGAAAGAAGAAGGATGAAGTGGTATGTGTTACGGAAGGACAGTCTGGTTTATTATTACATTTGCTAATACCTATCTTTCTAGGATTTGGAAGATGAGTTAGATGAGCGAATCGCAGACCTTAAAGTCCGCATGGAGAATGCCTGCCAGGCAGACAACCAGGCGCGCGAAGCAGGCCAACCGGCTCTACACAAGTTGAAGCTCCTCCCCGAGGTGATGGCGCTGCTTAATCGTAACACCAATCAAGCAGCGGTTGTCGACCCGGATACCAACTTCCTACAACACGTAAAATTCTTCCTCGAACCCCTTAACGATGGTTCATTACCTGCCTACAATATCCAGCGCGATATCTTCCAGGCTCTAACGCGGCTCCCTATTGAGAAGGAGACTCTGCGATCAAGTGGCATCGGCAAGGTTGTCTTGTTCTATACGAAGAGCAAGAAACCTGAGATTAGTATCAAGCGCATGGCTGAGCGCCTGTTAGGCGAGTGGAGTAGGCCTATCCTCAAGCGCACTGACGACTACAAGAAGCGTCATATCGAGACGCGAGACTTTGATTACCAGTACGTCTGATATATTTCCCGTCTCCTCCGAAACGATTGCTTGCTAACACCCTAAATAGAGCGGCGAAGCTTCGACAGGTCGCCACGAGCAGTCAGTTGACGCTTAACCAGCGCCACACTGCACAAAGCCTTGCGGAGGAGGAGCGTGCACGCATGCTGGCTCCTGTAAGAGATGTAAGTCGTGCGCGGGTTACGGGCCTTCCCTCAACGTACACAATCGCCCCGCGTAGTACTTTTGATCCCACACGCGCCCCGGACTATCGACCAATCGGTGCCAGCGGAATTGAAGCGTTCCGCAAGATGACCCAGAAGGGGAAGAAGAAGGGCTAAGGTGTACAACTATATTACCCTTCTAGAGTTTGTCAAATTGGAATTATGCCGGACGGAGGTTCTTGCATGCTATTATGTGTGCATGTACTTGGAGTTTAGGTTTACACGTCTCTTTATATCAACACGCCAAAGGAACACCTAGTTCTACTATACTTGGTAACAGGTAGCTTAGGTACCTAGGCTTCTATCTTAGTAAAAAGACATCCAGGTTTAAGACCATCAGATAGCCCGACCCGGGCGTGGTATTGCACTGCTTTGTGGGGTTGGTACACACTGGACTTGATGAATGAAAACTCCATCATTTTCGTCGAATATTGCCGTGTTTATGATATACATATGCAAGCTGGGTCGTTTCTGACTTACTGGGCATCTCCTATCCGCATGTGACTGACATCCGTTGCGGCTTTAAACCGGACTTGGCTCGCCATTTATTCGCTCTCTGCCATTTGTTGCTCATAATTGTCGTTAATATGCCCGCCATAACTTTATTAAAATTTCCCTTCTTGTTTGTTGGAACCGCCAAGCAGTCTATTACTCATCTTGGTACCGAAAACAAGTATCGAGTGCAGGTGATGTGACGTAGAAGAGCTCGTATTATCATACACCATCTTGTCATCAGCATGTAGTTTCAACTCGTTACCTACCTAGGCAGTATATATAATTCCAAAGGTCGGGGACATAAGTCTATAAACTACCTACCTAACTTTAGATTTTGTTGGAGTAATTATCTAAATCTCTTCATTAACAGATATTAAGTTGTTCACTTCCTATTCAGGGGACAAGGACAAACGCGGACACGCGGCTGTAAAATGAGATTGCAGCTCTATAACTATAAGCTTGAATATTTGACATAAGCAGACCTATGTAGCTGCTTTATATTGTACTACTTTGAATATTCTTCTCTAGAATACAATATATTGGATATAACATTTTACGTTGACATGTGCATTTATCCTCTCAAATCCACCGACTTATTACATTCATTACCTACAGTGCTGTGATTCTAATGTAACAAAGAGCAAGCAGTTAAAGGGTGTCGGGGAAAAGAAGTCCCTGAAAAGGGGAACGTTCCGGGTTCTACTATAACGAACACATTACTCCTAGAACTTTATTGCTCTCGTTTTTTACAAATTCTCTTTGCTTCTCTTCTCTCCTCTGCTCCTGCGAAGGGAGTCGTAAATCATTGGATCGAAGCCCGTTCTATGTTAGATTCTTTCTTTCTCTTTCCTCGATAAAAAAGGAAGGACTGATCATGTCTTTCTCTTACGAGTAGCCCTATGGACGAACCCCGAGAATCATTATAACCATTACCGAGAGCTAGCGACATGTAACCAAAAACTCTACCGCTTCTTCACCTCGCAGGCCCAGCCTTCAATGCCCTCGCCTTTGCCTCCAGGTATGAGTCCTTCTATTTTTATGTCCTCCATACCCGGCGTGTCATCTAACCACGGATGATTCGACATGCCGCCAGCATTCGCACGTTTTTCCGGTAGTAGCTCGAGCATCGGCAGGAGGAATTCAGATACCTCAGAAGGCTGGTACTCGAGGGTGGGTTCATCTTCCGGGAAGAGGTCCTCTACAGCGTCCTCGTCCTCACCGTTTTTCCTTGCTTCCATCTTAGCCTTGACCTTGGCCTCGGCCCGTTCCCTCCGAGCCTTCTCCTTCTCTTCCCGCTCCTTCGGTGGTAGATCCTTATAGTCCTTAAAGTGGTACTTTTCACGTAGGACGTCAGATAGCGCCCAATGCCGCAAGCGATGGATATTACGCAATTCTCCTCTCTTATTGAATATCTCTTGGGACCAGCGACCAGTCTTCCATAGTTCCTTAGGGAAGGGGCCAAGAAGCTCGATAATCTGTGCGATATGGTCGTCATCTTTGCCATACTTGGTTCCTGACTGGGGATCGAAAAGGTAATCGCCAGTGATCAGTTCGAATACCTGAATAAGCACCCATTAGCTCCCGGACCTTTCTCCCCTCGTAGAATCTACAAGACAAGTGTGATAGGTGGGAAAGGGGCAACTTACCATCGCGGCCATACTCCAAACATCGGTGCTCGCGCCCCATTTCGCGCCCAAAATAACCTCTGGCGATCGATATTGTCTTGTCTGGATGTCGTTTGTGAAGTGGTGAGAGACCCAGCAGGCATTTCCCAAATCCGCAATCTTGACGTTGATAATTGGCCCCTTTCGCTTTCTCTTCCTTTTTTCGCTTGTAGACGCAGTGCTGCCGGTAGCGGACTTATCGAGAGAAATTCCAGATACTTCCTTGGTAAGGAGCTCACTATAGAGTGAAGCGCATTTAGTAAGCTACTACGACAATAAATTTATGGGCTAAACTCACGCTGTCTTTTCCCTCTGTCCCTGTTTATCGCTGGTAGACGAACTTGACGTTGCTGCTAAAAATAGAAAAGCCCGTCAGCATACTATATCGAAGTATAAAGAGAGAGATATAATAGTAGGGATGAAGAGATATTGCAAATTTGGCGGGGTCCGAATATCGCTCATGCGGGGAGGGTAGTGGCATGATAAGCAGCATAATAAGATGACCCCTATAGGCGCAAGAAAATACTGATGATGGAAGCTTATGTAGGTACATACCATCGTGTAACATAGCATTGAGGCTGCTATGGGATTTGGTCGATGGGAATAGGTTGTCGCGATTGAAGTTCGCGTTCAAAGGTGACGGCAACGGTTGACTGCCAGTGATCAACGTTCGTCTTCTTCGTCTTCCGTTCCTGTTATTTTCCTTGTCCGAGTTCTCGTTCTTCACCACCTTCTTCACCACCTGCTCGACGTCGCCTATCTCTATCAGAACGTTCTCGGGTTTGAGATCTGTATGAATGATGCCGCATTCTCTATGCAGGTAGTCCAGGCCCATTAAGACCTGCTTCGTGATTTGCATGACAAGATCGCGAGGAATGCCCCTATGCTGCCACTTCTTGATCAATCCTAGAAGATTTTCCCCAAGAACCTCGAACACCATGCATACATGCACCCCATTCGGTCCCTTGTGTTCGAACGAGTCAAGCAGGCTAACAACGTACTTTCGGCCTGGGTGGTTAGGGTTCGCTTGTACGATCCTCTGGAGCAATTTGATTTCATCGATAGCGGTTTCCGTGTAGTGACTGGCGGATCGCACGACCTTTAATGCGACGTGCTTGCCATTCGTGTTGTCTCGAGAGAGCCAGACGGTCGAAAAGTGGCCCCATCCTAGTTTTCGCACAACCGTATACTTTCCATCCTTGAATTTCTCGCCAATTTGGACGGGGTGATATCCACCTTTGCAATAATCTTCAGAATCCTCCTCGTCCGCAGTGTTTTCGGCAGCGTCTTCTGGACCGGAGGACGACGTGGGGGAATGTTGATTCATGTTAGATAGGTGCGGCGGTCTATGTTAAGTAATGTTAGTAGCTAGTCATCCCAAAAAAAAAAGAAAATGTTAAAAGATATATCAGTGACCACAGCGCGATGTGAAATATAAAATTTGTGGTAGCAAGAATGAAAGGTAAAGTACAGCCAGCGCAAGCAAGCTCGGGAAGAGTGAGGTTGGCAATGTGGCGGCGGGCTGCAGGCTCATTGACCCTGGTTGTTTGGCTATGCGAGCGGTACCCTGGCGGCCCGAAACTAGAAGTACCAATGAAAAGGCGGGTTTGGGTAAAAATCCATCAAGATACCTCGCCCAGACTGGGTAGACTGGGTAGACCCGACCCAGTCGCCATAACTTTGATAGTGGCGGTGGGGGGTGGGAGAGGAAGATGTAGTGAAGCCGAAGGGGAGTTCCAAGCCACAGTTAGTAGTAATAGTAGTAGATGGTAAACAGTAACCTTTTCTTCATTGTAGCCATAGTGTCCAATGTCGCGCGGTTTTATAGGCGGAAAGGAGGGAGTAATTGATAGCCAGGAGCAAGAGAGAGTAGGTAATAAGATGAATCCTCAAGTGACTTCGAAAAGCATATAAGAAAAATGCCAAGGAAATAGATAGACGATGCAGGCGAATATGGAATGAGCAAAGCGCTCAAAAGGAGGAAACAATAAACAAAATGAACCACCAGACTTGTCAACAATTACGTTGGACAAGAGGAGTTCAGGTGAGTTGAGAGAATTGGGCGAATGCGTGATAAATCGCACCACGGCGCATCACAGCGCTGGATAGCACCGCGTCGCACTACACACAACACACAACTCAAAACTCAACCGAAGATAGAGTAAAGGTAGAGTGAGGACAGAGGTGAAGTGAATCAAAAGGTGTGTAGTAGTCTTCGTCAAATAGTGCGCTTGCGTGTTGAGAAAGATAGACAGAGGTAATAATCAAATCACCCCCTCTCCCCCTTCGTGGTTCCAGTCAGTCCCCCCGGTCAAGTCGAGTCGAGTTGACCCGGTGGATGGACCGTATGTGAGTATGCGAATATGCGAGTATGTAGAGGCGTGACGGAATGTGGTTATTTAGTAGATCGACTCTGATTATGGAGAGGATGACCAGGTTTGCACGGTGAGAAAGAAGCTGTGGGCGCTAAACGTTCAAAGCACTTGGGAACTTTGGAGCTTCTTTTCGGTCGAGTCCCGATCCTGACAGGGCTGGGACCCGTACAGGGAAGCCCCTCCATCAACGACGCTCCGCAGTTGGAATAGCGCTTGACCCTTTTCAGGGGGGTCGAAGGGCGGGCCAAAGGGGGGGAAATGGATGATAGAGGATTGGATGGTGCAACTCCAACTGACGGCCGGCTCGGCTCAGCCCCGCCATAAAGGAGCAGATGATAGATGTATAAGTACTGTTTATATACCTAAAGAACGTACTGATTTGTTGTTGCTATTATAAGTCTGGCCTGGTATAGCACAACACCTTGAGATAGGATGTGTGCGGGTGCGTGTGCCGTCTGTGTTATGTATGCAGATACCCGGGCCAGCATGCGTCAATATGGGTCAATATGGGATGGCATATGACCGATAGATAAGAGAAGACAATTCAGGTATCATTGTCCCGATGTGTGGAAGAAGCTTGTTTCTGTTGTTGTTGCCGCCGCCATCGCGTAGGGTTTGTGGCTTGTCCTGTATTTTTTTGTACTGGTTTCTTTGCTCGTGGTCTAAGTTCCATCCATCCTGGGGGGATTTCCGTTGGACATCTTAGGATCTCTTTGATGATACCTGGTTTACTGCTTGCTTGCTTGGCTTACACTGGTATGGGCTGCAAGATGTCAAGTACCTACATCTCTACTCACAACCTCGTGCAACAAAACAATGAATTGTGTCGTGCGCTATAAGGTGATGTGCATATGCAGTAGGTAGGGGGGGGGGGGGGGGGGGGGGGGGAAAGGTGAAAAAAAAGGAAGAAAAAAAAAAAAAAAAAAAAAAAAATTTTTAATTGTAAAATTAACAAAATTAAATACA